AGTGTGGCTCTTCCACAAAATACCACGTGCGGGCGCGCACGTACAGTGCGATTGAAACTTCGTGGCCCATGCGCAGAAGTCGGTTTTCGACCCGAGTGAGTCTATTTTGAAGAAGTGGCGTTAGAAGAAGTGGGGGGTGTCGGTTGGTCGGGTGACGGGAGATGCAGCGCAGGGGAGGTACAATGTTTTGAGGTACATTTGCTGAGGTCGACTCCTTCCAACTCTCCCATCCACACTCGTCTGTCTGAAACAAGTATAAAAGACGCGTGTGGATGGGAGAGTTGGAAGGGGTCGACCTCAGCGAACGTACCTCAGTCAGATTGAGGACGTTTTTAGCAAAGGCCAGCTTAGGAGTATCCTGATTAAGTTAATAACAATGTACCTACCTATATAGTTTAAGTTTAAAAACTTTGGCTCTCAAAAGAAATTTCAATCGTTGTACTGTTGATATTTGGCTCTGTTGACTAATGAGTTTGCCGACCACTGTCCTAGCCCCATGTTCTTGGCTCCTCAGCAGAGCTGGAACCAACCTTTTTGTGTTTCTCTGGTCTCTGCCCGCTGTTCTCGGGGCTTTATGCTTCTCCCATTCTGCGACTGGCGGCCGGCCTTGGTACCAAGGCCTCCGAGGAGAGCTAGAAGGACGTAGCCAGGGCCATTCAGGAGATGAGTTGCCAGGTGAGGGGATCAGAAGGTGCTCAGGAGAGTCTGGCTGTAAGCCCAGCCTGGGGCAGGGATCTGCGTGGAGCAGAATGAGGTCAGGACCAGCCCTGTTTCCTGAGCAGCCATATGACCCAGACCAGACAGTCCCTAGTGGGAGCTCAGAGAGAGAGCAGAGTGCCATTTTGGTGTGAACCTGCATGTGCATCTGTGCTCATCAGTGTCTGTGTGAGAAGTAGAGATGAGACAGTGCTCAGGCTCGATCCATAGTGGTTTGGACTCTGTCTGCTGGCCCCAGAGCCTCGGGCTGCCCTCATGATGAAGAAGATGGGGTTAGCCCTGGGGATCATGTGGAGAGGGACTCCCTGTGGGTTACTTCTAAGGGGCTGCTGACCACAATGGGACCTGTGCCAACCTCTTCATCTGCATGTCCATCCCCAGCCAGCTCTGCACCTCTCCTGGCAGCAGTGGGAAATTCATTTTGGCGGAAAAGGGTGTCCCAGGACACTTTTAACCCCTGTGGCCTCAGAGGTGGGGTAGGTGGAGGGTGGCTTCAGCTTTGGCACTAAAATTCTGTTTCCCAGAGTCTAGAATTGGCTCACCCTCTGGTGCCTTTGTTTCCTCCACTTCGGAAATGTCTCCCTCTGGCCCCTTATCTGGTTGACTGAGCAGAACTGGGACTCACGGCTCTGCTGCCTCAGGGAGACACCTCACTTCTCAGGGCCTCAGTTTCCTCCTCCGTAGATGTGGGAAACCTTGGCTGCCACAGCTTGGACACAGGGCAGGGCTGCCTTCCGAGCTCAGGACAGAAAGGACAGGGGCTCAGTCAGAGTCTGGCAACCAGCTTTATTACAGGTTAGCATGATCGAGGTCCTGACGGCAGCATTACTCCTCATCGTGCAGTTTTTGCTGAAAAAGAAATAAAAGGTCTGAGGGGGCAATTGGCAAAAGGGAGGAAAGATGTCGGGAGGACTCTCTAGAGCTTTCCTGGGCCTAAAGGAGATGCCCTTAGAGGGAGAGGTTTAGACCTCAGGGATCTTGGGATTCCATTTAGGGGTCTTTGTGGTTTAGGATCTCCTAAATGGAACCCCGAAGGACTGGGGTTCCAGACAGGCTCCAGTCTGTAGGGGTGTTCTGAGCAGGAGGGGGATTCTCAGGAATGGGTGCTATGGGACTCTTAGGCTATCCAAACGTAGGGTAAGAAGTACCCCCTCAGAAGGGTGCTAATGTTGGAGGGAAGCTGCTGTGGGGGTGACTAGCTAGGCCTGGGGTAGGGGACCCACCTTGGTGCCGATGTCACGGCTCTTGGCCCGCAGCTTGTTGACCTGGGACTCGGCGATGTCCGCTCGCTCCTCTGCCTCATCCAGTTCATGCTGCACCTTGCGGAACTTGGACAGGTTGGTGTTAGCCTGCTCCTCCTGCAGGGGTTCAGCGGGTGGGAGGATGAGGTGTGAGGGGGTAGGTAGGTGCATATTCCCAGCTTCCTGGTCTGGGGACTCCCTGGTTCCTGGCTCGTCTCAGTGCTCTCACCCCTCACCCATGTTCCTCCAACAGCCTTGCCAAGGGCGTCCTACTCCTTCCTGGCTTGGCGTCTGATAGACGCTCCCTGACCTGGGCTTACTGCACAGGTGGGCTCAGCAACATCTCACATCCACGCCTGTTTGCCCACCCACATGTCTTCCTCACTGCGCTATGCCTGGTCAGTTTCTCTTCCAGGCTCAATTTCACTGCCACCTTCCAGTCTTTTAGCACTGTCTGATCCCCTGACCTACAGTAACAGCTACTCTGCCTTCTCTTGGGCTTATTTGTATATGAATTATAAGTGGCTTGTGAGCAAATCCTGGATCAAATAAGCATTGCTTTTGTTAACTCAGAGTGCCTGACACAACTGTGAGCATATTGGACACATGTAACAAATGTTTGAAAGTTAAAGTGAATAGCAAACTCATTGTCCCCAAACACACAGGCCCCAAGCTGGGGTGGACACTCGTTGCTTCAAACACACAGGAGGTGTGTTCATTAGAGTGGAGAAACCCATGAACTTACCGCCTCCTCCGCCTGGCGCTTGTAGGCCTTGACCTTCAGCTGCAGCTTGTCCACCAGGTCCTGCAGCCGCAGCAGGTTCTTCTTGTCCTCTTCAGTCTGGGGGTGGATGGGTGGGAGTTTTGGGGGAGAAGCAAGTACAATCATCTTCCCCTCCCTCACCATTCCACTCTTCTCCCCATGCCTTAGCTGAGCCTCCCTCAAATGGGCCAGATTAAAGAGGTGATGGTAAGAGTCCATCTTTGATGCTACTTGTAGGTCACAGGGCCAAGGCAAAGCCCCTAGTCCATATTTAAAAAGCAATGAGAGCCGAAACCGGTTTGGCTCAATGGATAGAGCATCGGCCTGCGGACTGTAAGGTCCCAGGTTCGATTCCGGTCAAGGGCATGTACCTGGGTTGCACGCACATCCCCAGTGGGAGGTGTGCAGGAGGCAGCTGATCGATGTTTCTAGCTCTCTGTCTCTCTCCCTTCCTCTCTGTAAAAAATCAATAAAATATATTTTAAAAAAATAAATAAAAATAAAAAGCAATGAGAGCTGCCACCTTAAAACTAGAAGGGGGGAGGGGGAGAGACTCAGAACCAAATGGAATTCCATGATCTAATAATATGGAGACATTGGGCTGTTCCAGCTCCAACTTATCAATTCCACTATAGATGCTCTTGGAATGACCAGAAATGAATAATGATGAATGCAGAAAGAGGGGGCATTATAGTCTATACCATTCCAATCTATCATATTCCAATATGCTAATAGACTGTACTGGGCCAAATTTTGGGCACCAGGATCACTGACTCCAGTGTCACTTGATCAATCCCATCTCTACATCATTGTATATGTTAGGCTGGCATTTCCTAGGCTGACATATGCCCACAAATATGTCCACAGTTCTACATCTGTATCTCTTTCCTGTGCCTCATATCCAGCTGTCATATGGACCAATACTCCTTTCTCTGTGTTTCATTACCAGGCACACTGTGAAAATAAGGAGTCAAAGGTAAAAGCTCTGAGGTATGCAGATGGAGGTCCTAGAACATTTTGTGATCTGGCTTTTCTAAGGTCTTCTTCCCATTGTCCTAGAAGTTCCATGGAAGATCTGAGCCTTTTCCCATCTCTGACTTTTATCCCTAAACTGCCACACAATGTCCCTCCCAATTAGGCCAGTAGAAGGTGGAAAGATTACTTGGGGACTATTCGGAGCCTTCATGGTAGACCTTCAGAGTATTAAAAAATCTGGGGAAATTCTGGTTAAAAGAGCTTTCAGAAAGTAGAAGTAGATTTTCCTGCATTCACTGGAAAAACTCATGGACTTAAGCCAAACTGACTTGAGTATGTGAAAGAAAGGTAACCCAAAGACACCTTCTCAAGGAGCAGGTGCCAGGAGGACCAGGTGGCACTTCCTGGATGGTAGTTTGGCTTGGAGTCTGTGGGGGCCAGGAGGTGGGGCTAGGGTAGCCCTTGACTTCTGATGGCCCGGCCCCAGAGCAGCCACCAGCCGCACCTGGTAGGTGAGCTCCTTGATGCGCCGCTCACTCTTCCTCATGCCTTTGACTGACTCCACATTGCGCTTCTGCTCGGCCTCCAGCTCATTCTCCAGCTCCCGCACCCGGGCCTCCAACTTCTGCAGCTGCTTCTTGCCGCCCTTGAGGGCGATCTGCTCAGCCTCGTCCAGCCGGTGCTGCAGGTCCTTAATGGTCTGTTCCATGTTCTTCTTCATGCGTTCCAGGTGGGCGCTGGTGTCCTGCTCCTTCTTCAGCTCCTCTGCCATCATGGCGGCCTGTGGACAGGAGAGAGGTGTCAAAAAACCAATTAGGGGAGGCTGGAAGGTGCGGGGGCACTCACATCCGTGATGGCCTTTTTGGCCTTCTCCTCAGCGTTCCTGCACTCCTGCACCGCCTCCTCCACTTCTGACTGGAGTTGGGTCAGATCCGACTCCATCTTCTTCTTCTGGTTGATGAGGCTGGTGTTCTAGATATGGGCAGAGAAAATTATCTAGTGTAGACTTTATTGTCTGATTCTACACCTTTATCCAGAGAGAATTAAAACTGGTCATGTGTTACAAACATGTCTTTCTTTTAGTATATTCCTTTTGTTTCTCACACGCTTTCCCTTTTCTTATGAGAATAGATATGCTCTAGATTTTATATCTAAAGTTATCAGCTCTGAAGAATGACTTAAAGCAACAAAGATTCTGCATTTCTACTCCTGATCTCTTTAGTAACATGTCTATGCAAGAGCATGAAAATATTCCTAGGAAAATGGGAATAACTTTTTACCAGGACAATATCCTGGAAATGATTACAGTTACAGAAAGAATGACGTAGGGTAAGGA